CCGCTGACAATTACAGCTACAGAAATTTACATAATACCTACAGAAATATTTACATAATATCGTAACATCCAACAAAGAGAACTGTAATAGAGACTAAAGAGCAATTATACCCTAACAAACATGGGCCTATTATAGGTCAATATACACTCATGTACAGTTGGCTCTCGTATTTTGCAATTCATTTCATTTCGGTCATTATAAGCCATTAGTCCAAGTGATTCAAGATGACTGGCTGACACATTTGGAATAATGTTGTTCATTACTGCATGTGCAACAGACAGGAAGAAACAATTCCCATTTGGTGGAACACTGACACGGACCATATTGTGGTTTTATAGAATATTATCGAGGGTAGAAGACTCTTTACTGCTTACTAAGTCAGAGTGGAACAGTGTCACGCTACTTTTGAGAAAAACATAAAATTTGGATTCAACTTCGCATACTGACCAAGAGAGTCTCGCTGTTCACACTCAAAGATGGCAAGTGCGACTGAGTTGAAATGCAATCTGCTTCACTTGGTTCATCCTCATCTGATAACATATTTGAATTCTCACATGTTGTATCTAGGAAATTGTTTAATTTATCCAACATTATCACCTCATAGTCGTCTTGTCCAACATTGCTACTAGTGTCTCCCTTTTCATCATCATTTAAAAAGCCAGGAGTAGCTTGAAACTGAAGTGAAGTCTACAAGCAAAGATGGCTTCCACCGGCACGGTAAACATCACGAAAATTCACTTCTCGATAGCGTTGTTACCATTTTTTTTTTTTTTGCTAACACCGAGGATGAGCCAAAGTTTCGCCCTTCCTGTCACAATTCAATGAACACTTTCAGGGAGCTTAACATGGGCACAGGCAGAGATCGAAGTGAACTGGAAGTAGAATTGTCGTGTCTTTGGCGTGTATTATCGACTTTTCGTTGAAATCGTCAAGTTGAAAATGGTAAAATAGAGACATTTAGCACCACGTTTTTCGTTATTACGGCTGACGTGAGACTGCAGTTCGAGGTTTGACGTT